CATACCAATACATGGCACTTCAACTTTTTCAACACTTGTTTGAGAACTCATATGATTTGTACCTGGAGAAAAGAATTTAAAAGAACAAAGGAGATTTGATTAATAGTGAAATACATAGACATCCAAAATCGGCAGAGAGAAAACTAAAAGTGGATTAGAAAGCAATTTCTATAAATTTGACGAAGTCATATATGTGTTCCTCTTTGCAGAGCATTTAATTAGTCCATTTTTGTATCAGAGGTGGATTGGTTGTTGAGAATGGATAATTCTGTTAGAGATATTATGTGCTTGTTCAATAATTGGTCGCATATATGTGTATACATATGAGCAGTGCATTGGCCAGTAATAATTTTCATGATGCATAAGAAAGCTTGCCATTTCTGTTGTCCATGATAATTGCCATGAATATTGGAGCCATATAAGTGCCAAACGATGGTGTATTGGTGTTCACTCGTGTATGGTTTGATGAGATCCATGTTCTGGTGTAACGTTTGTCTGAAAGAAAAAGAATAATGATCGATTTGATCAAGTGATATCAAATATTTTAATAGTATTTGAGTTGAGAACAAACTCATAATTCATATTATGAGTAGAGTTCAAGAAAATTCAATTGTATTTGTATTTGAAAGGAATCATGTTGATTTCTTGAAACAAATTTTTGTCATCAAAATTTGTATGAGTTTCAATTTTGATGCTTGCAAGATGCAACAATTTGGTTTATGTAACAAAATTGTTTAAATTGTGATCTTGAAGTAAATTGAAATAATGGTGATGAAATGTGTTCCCCGACATGATAATTTGTTTATCATGTATATGCCACGAGAGCAAGGAAAATGAAACTAAGATGGATCCCTATAAGGATTGATAAGCTTGCCAAAGAATGGTGATCATCAAAATAATCATCGTCGGAATTGTTTATGATTTATGTACACTATACCGTTGGAAAACAATTTGACTTATGATCATAGTGTGAAGCTGTTTGTCATAATTGTTTATGGTATATAAAGGACATATACCATTGGCAAACAATTTGGCATGAGAGCTCAATTGAGATGATCTTATTGAACTTAAAGTCTGAATTATTTATGGTATATTTATGAAATATACACCATTGGAAAATAATTAGACGATTGACTTAGAATATCCATTTGAATTGCTTGTGGTATGTCAAGTTACCTTGATGAAATGTCATTGGTAAGTAATTAGATAATATTTCCAATACAATCTGGAAATGCAACTGAATTACTTGTGGCATCTCAAGTTACCTTGATCAGTTCCATTGGTAAGTAATTAGATGATATTTCTAATAATATTTGAATTGTTTGTGGTATTCTAATTCAATTAGTTCATACCATTGTTAAACAATTAGATCAATGTAGTGGTTGAAAGTTCAATAAGTAAAATCATGGAAAAGAAAATGGAATTATTCCATGATGGTTTGGCAAGTGGTAGAATTGTGGGATAGATGGTTTTGACTTTTGATGCTAGTTGGATAACAAGTGCTAGTGATAGTAAATCTACAACGGGGGTTTTTTTACACTAGGTGATGAAGTTGTTTCTTAGTTTCGAAGAAACAAATGTGTATTACACACTCTTCACTATGAGATAGCGAGGCTACTTTGTCTAGGCTACTTGGTTAGATATATAGTTGTAGCCACAACTGATGCCAACCATTTCTGTCTTTGTGATAGTGAGGCTACTTTTTCTAGAGCTTATAACAAGATTTACAATGGTAAGTCTAGAAATGTTAGCCTAAGACATGAATATGTTAGACATTTGATTACTAATGTAATCATTTCTATTGTGTATGTAAGATCAATCAAAATTTTGGCAGATCCTCTTACCAAGGGATTGCCAAGAGGAATGATCTATGAGACATCCTAAGGGATGAGATTGAGACCTTTTGTGTAGTTAGAAATAATGGGAACCCAACCTTTTCTTTAGGTATTCACTAATTAATAGGTTCAATGTGGTAACAACAAGTTACTCTAACTGAGGTACTAATTTATTGTACAAGTAAATTAGTACGAAGAAGGGTGAGTTATAGAACTTTTAATGAATTCATTTGGAATGTCATCTATGTGAGCATTAAGAGTGGTGCCGCTCTAAGAAAAGTAGAGGTCAACTTTTGTGTATGCTCATGAAACAGGATCATCACATGGCTATAATAGTGCTACCCTTGTTGGTGGTTGTGGTTTAGAGAAGAGACAAGTACGTGTGTGGCATCTCTGATTATAACTTTGGATCGTGACTCCTAGGCTTAAGCCTGCCACTGATTCGCTATCAACTTTGAGTTGCTTGCACTAGGTAAAGGTTCAAATAAAAAAGATACCTTTATGTATGCATTACTTGTTCGAGGCAGGTATTCTCAACTCTTGTTGACTAAGTGGGCGATTGTTAGAGTTAGTCAATAGAGTTGTAATACCACATTGATGGGAGAAGGAAAATATAAGAATTGAGTCTTTTGGCGGTTTAATTAATTAATTTTTATATTAATTAATTAGCGTTTGAATATTGTGAAAAGAGGTATCATTTCAGAAATGTAACTTCTCTTTTTCTGTGAAAGGATGTGTCTTTACGTGAAAGGTAACTACCTTTTTTTTGTGAAAGGATGTGTCCTTTCGGGAAAGGTAATTACCTTTTTTGTATGAAAGGATGTGTCTCTTCGGAAGGTAACTTACAGTTTTCACAAGCATAAATAGAGGACTGCCATAACTCATTTTAAAATGAACGTGAGATTACTTCTTCTTCCCGTTTTCCTTCTCTAGTTCATAAACAAAGAAGTCTACAAGATTGCTCCTGCTCTGATGATGAGAAACGAAACAACGATTGAAGCAAGGGTTGGAGATCAGAGAGTTCCACAACTTGGAGACGGGCTTACAACGGCAGGGGATCTCGGGTTCGGGAGGCGGATCAGAATCCCGGCGAGGAAGTCGTCTCCGAGTTTGCTGATCGGGGAAGGGTTTGTTTCTGAACAACTTCGATGTCGTCGATTCGTACGCTGTGCCATGGCGGCAGCGGCGAATCCAGAACAGAGTAGAGCACTGGGCCGCATTTCAATATAATATTATATACCGTAAACAAAAATAATCAATATTTTTAAATTTTAGTATTTCAAATAAAAAAATAATTATAAAATTACCAAAGATAACTTGTAGTGACTAATATTTTGATGCGTTACAAAAGATTTAGCTAATATTTTGTATTTCGAAAGGTTTGGCTAATAATTTGGAGAGTCTAAAAGGTTTGACTAATAAATTGTATTTACTCAAAATTAGTTTTCACTACTCAAAATTAGTTTTCACATATTTCATTGCTTAAAATGTTCTCTCCATGGTAGTCTCTGAAACGGGCAAGGTCAACACTAGACGAATCAACCCACAAATCAATTTGTTTAGAGGGTTTTCTTATTTCAATGAAACTTTATATACTCTTTTACATTTTAGACTTTTAGGTTTTATTAATTTTTTTCAAATGAAAATCATTCGGGCTTGAATTCCTAGACTAAATTGAGAGTAATGATTTGCATATGTTCATCTATACCATTTTTCTAACTACATAAAATTTATTATCAAATAACACTCGACCGACCATTAAATAATACTGGGCCGAATACCTAAATCAAAAAATTTATAAGCTCTATACTAGCTCTGGATCCGACGGAGGGCTGGGCCGTGACCCGGGTTGGCCCAGCCCTAGATCCGCCGATGCCTGGCGGCGAAGGGAACTACAACAACGAGAGGGGGGAAGAAAGAAAGCGAAGAGTTCAAGGGAGACTTCAGGCGAAGGGAACTACAACGCCGAGTCGGGGAACTTCAGGGAGACTGCAGGGTCAGGAGTTGGGGTTTTGAAGGAGAGAGAATGTTTCTTGTCGAACGGATGGAATTAATATAGGGGCTTGTTTTAATTTTTAGGGTTAGGCCCGACTATACACAAATAACTAATTCTGTCTCGTAGTTTCAGAAATTGCTATTCTGACTTCAACCAGGCATCATATATACTCAATTGGTTGGATGCGTAGTTTGACCGTCTGGTCAACACCGTTGACTAACGGTTAACAATCCAGCTCACTGCCATGTCATCACCAAAATTATAAAAAAGTACAAATTATTTCTTATTTCCTTTATCTAATAAGATATAAATAATGGTAAAAAAATAATAAATCAAACAAAATTAAGAAAATCAGAAAGTAATTTGAATGTTTATATTTTTTTATTTTGGTGATGACATGGCGGTGAGCTGGACCATTGACCATCCAAATTGATGGTCAAACCACACGTCCGGCCAATTGAATCTGTATGGTGTAAAATTGAGGTTAGGATAGCAATTTCTGAAATCACGGACCAAAGTTGATTATTTGAGTACAGTTCGGGTCATATTAAGGTATTAACCCTAATTTTTAATTAATTTGGGATACAAAATAATTAAAACAAAATGAGGGATAATTGGGTAATTTTCAACTCATTTAACGGCCACTTAATAGATAATTAGATGAAAGGGTAAAATTGTTACGTTTTAATAATAGAATGATATGTTTGTGAAGAAATTTAGTAGAAGGGTACGTTTGTTAATTTGCAAAAATTGAGAGGTACAAAATACTATTATCCAATTTTAACTATATATAGTTTCATTCCATCTTGTACTCAAATTAAAATTGTAACTTACTCTAAAAATGAAGTCTTTCCGAACTCCAACATCGACTTAAAATTGTCACTTTACTCTCTAGCAAGCATATTAATTGTTTATAAATTTCGACACTTATCATAAAGTCATATCCGTAATAAATAAATAAAATTAACTATCATCCACATATTGAACCAAAGAATAGATATGACATTCACCAACTCGAAGGATTTTTTAAAGAATTTTCATCATATCCCATAATCCGGTACCAAACAACCATAATTCATAGAATCGCTTTCACGTCTTTCTAAAATTGCAGTCATGGTTAATTTTTCTGAGAGGCAAAATACTAACCTGAAGTTTTGATATAATTTCATCCACATATAACTAAAAATACATTTTAACCAACATATTTATTCTGTTTACGTAAAAGTGGTTAGACATCAACTGCATTTTTTATAATCTGAATGCATTAGTTCTATTCAGCTTATTTTAGCGGGAGATCATTTACCCGAGCTCAGGATTTCACTTCTATGGGAGTTTAAAAACAGTCAGTACTCAATCACCCCCAAGCTCTTCAACCAGGGAAGCACCTCCAGTAATCCGTCCTTCAAGCTTCGAGGATTGTAACCCAGATCGTTCTTCGCCTTTTCACAGGAATATGCCCATTGGTGTCTCAGAACACGCACAGTCTGCAGAAAACAGAACAAAGGAACAGACATTAGAACAGGTTCAAAACGTTATTTGAAGTAGGCATTACAAGGCTGCTGGCATCATACCGGGGGGCTGATTAGAGGCAGCTTTCCTGTGATCCGAGAGACCAGAACCGACACCCATCCATAGACTTCGATGGCCCATAGAGGAATGTTTATCTTTGGCTTGCTTGTTCCTGTGATGACTGCAGCCATATCGAAAACTTGCTTGAACGATGCATTTTCTCCCGTTAGCAGGTATCTTTCGCCAAGCTGGCCTTTCTCCATTGCTGCTATGTGACCTTGCACTACATCATCAACGTGACTGAAAGAACATCTATCTTGCCCAGAACCTATGTATCCAGGTAAACGCCCCTGGAAGCGCTCAATAAGCTGAACCAGAAATGTTTGCCAGGTTCAGAAACGAAAAGGTATACCATAAACTGAATCATCGACTGATCCTGATTTGCTCATCAACACAAGTGCATGTAATTTGATCCACACCATTCTAGTGCATGCTAAATACACGAGAACAGCTTCAATTTTATTAAGGGGTTTAGATGATTGATTGTGGCCTCCAAGGGAGGAAATGTCCACAGAAATAACCTCGGCAGCATACCACCCATTCATACGAGCTCTTCGACTTAGTTCTTCCTCAGAAGAGGATGTTCTTGACTAGCAGAGAAACTCAGAAGAGGCGGCATTGACATTCATTGACTATGCTAGACCACATTGACTAGGCTAAACAACATTACCAGTTGACTCCAATTTGATTCGAGTCACTCTAATACTTGCTAAATATAGGAGAAAAGCTTCAGTTTTACTAAGGGGTTTGGATGCTGGATTGTGGCCTCCAAGGGAGGAAATGTCCACAAAAATCACATTGGCCATCATTCTCAAATCAGTTGTCCCAGCATGCCACCCATCCATACCTAGCTCTAATTTGGGTTCGACTTAGTTCTTCTACAGAAAAGGATGTTCTTGACTAGCAGAGAGCCTCAGAAGAGGCAGCATTGACATACATTGACTAGGCTAGACCACATTTCCAGTTGAATCCAATTTCAATTCCAAACCCTAATTTCACGCAAATTCTAACCGCAACGTACTAATCACCACAGGAATTCAGCTACCAGAACTTACCAATCTAGCCACGACATTGCCGGTAGTGAGCTTTCCGGGGCCATACACCACACCGGGATAGCACAAGACAATCGGGACACCGTCGGAAGCAGCCTTCAAAGCAACCTTATCCGCGGCGGCTTTCGATCTCTCATACTCGGTGCAGAAGAATTCCTCGGGATGGCGCTGCAAAAAAATTTCGCAAACAACAAATTCAAAATCAGGAACGCGTCGAATTGAAATCGGACGGAGAGAAGGAAGATCGAGTGGACACGAACCGCTTCCGATTCAATTCAACTACCTGGTTCTCATCCGCTGTATGACCGTCGGTCGGCCCGAGAGCGAAGAACGACGACGTGTAGATGATCCTCTGCACCGATTCTGTTTCTCCGGCAGCTCGCAGCACATTCTTCAATCCTTCTACGTTGACCTACTGAGAAATCATCAGGAAATTCACAATTACCAGTGCCAATCGCAATGTTTTTGTTATCGAGTTCAGAGTTCAACGGAACCTCACCGAGAAGAACTTGGACGGATCCGGGAGCCACGGCTCAACGACGGCGGCGGCGTGGAAGATGACGGTACAGCCGCTGAAGGCGTCGACGAGCGAGCGGTAATCAGTGACATCACCGTAGGCGAATTCGAAGTCAACACCGGCGGGATCGGGGAGGGAGGAAAGGTCGCTGGTGCGACGGACCAAGGCGCGGACGGAGTGGCCTCGTTGCAGAAGGACGTGGCAGAGCCGGCCGCCGAGGTAACCAGAGGCGCCGGTGACGAGTACCTTCATTATATAGGGCCGGGTGGGCGGCGGCTTAGCTAGTCGGTCGTAGTCGTCGGGGCCGAAAAGAAACAGAGAGCACTTTCCACGTTCCACTTTCCAATTCCGATTCCGCCCGGTCCCGAGTCGTCGATTTCGTTTTCAAGAAGAAAAAAGGTCTGAATCGCTATTTGTCGCCCTAAAATTGAAATTTTATCGCCCTAAAATGTATCAAATTGACACTCTTACCCTCCGATCCCTCCTATTCCTCTGTCCTGCCGCTGCTGCTGTCACTATTGGATTCTTCTTTCGGCAGCCGCCCGCCTCAACCCGACCACCGCCGGTGCTTTGCTTCTACGGTCAAAGTCCATCCAAAGCAGGAGGAAGAAGAAAACTATATACTAGATTCCAAAAATGACTATTTCCCAAGTTCCCTTGCACGTGCTTTGATGGTGATGATTCTTCTTCTCTAGTTTCGTTTCTTTTGGCTTGGTGCAGTTGTCATTCATGGAAGGTGAATTCGGTAACTGTTGGAATAACTCTGGATCGAAAAGTAATTAACAACTGTTGGAATAATTGAAAGCAAGAAGGAGGCCGCCGATTAACTCCTCTGTCCTACTGAATTCTTCTCTCCGGCCCACTGCTGCCGGATTCTTCTGTTGGTACCGAGCATGAGGAAGGACACGAAGAAGGAAGAGGATTTTAGGGTTAGTTTCTATTTATTTAGTTTCTGTTTCCAAACGCTGGACGTGTGAAATTCTATCTCCGGCAAGCTTGGGACAGGTCAGAGCGAGGGAAGAGACTCGGTTGAAGGCAAGGAGGAGGAAGAAGAAAGGCAAGGATATTTAAGTCATTTTAATATAAATTAGGGTGACGAATAAGATGTTTTAGGGCGACAAATAACAATGCTCAAGGGTTGGTGAAATGTCGAATTGGCTCCCTTATTTTCTCTAGTGTTATAAATTTGGTACTAATTTTCGTGTTACTGTATCAATCCCAAAAGGGTTATACGATGAAATTGCCCTGTAATTCGAAAGTAAGCTACTGTTAACTATTCGAGAGCTTCAAAGCTCTTTATAAGAATGGTTACCGTACTTTGTATCGAGAACGGTGACAGCCATACTGAAAATTCAAACTAAAGATGCATGCTTATACAGTAACAGAACAAGGTGTTGCATAGAATAGAAGCAGTAGCAAGTTTGTGGAAAATTGTTACATATAGAATCATGAAATAAACTGCAGTTTAACCAGCACCATCAGATGCCAGACTTTTCACTGTCTCTTAGGCTAGTTTATTCTCACCAGGAAATGGCTTTCAGACACCATCAGTTTATTCTGATCAAGTCCGATCTCATGAAAACAACTCTCTACGCCAGTTTTCTTTCTCTACTGTACACAGGGGACCTGCTCAAGCAAACAGCAGGCACCAATCTATAAACAGGCATAAATATTCTCAACACCCTGGGCTCCCTGGGTACTTATTCCTACTCTGGCTTCATGCCAGTTCTGGATTACAGCTATACCTCTCCCTTCACAACATGGTACAGCAAGTCAGCAACTGCTCATTGTTAGCCATCATTTGTTATTTTTAGTAGGCTCACAGTCTCGACCGTCTCATGCATTTCATGGGATTAAATGTTGTGTGTCGCCGAGTCGAAGTATAGGGATGTTTGCTCAAGGAAGCAGACGACGACTTTATGTCCCAGTCTTCCACGTACTTAGGAACGCAAACGTCGAACAGTACTTGGCCGAGGACTCCATGAGCATTGATTGTCGGAGGTCCACCACGTACGCGTATCAACCCTTCTTTGCGTTGATCTTGCATTGTCGACCCAACATCTCTACCTTGGTCGTAATACTCTTCCGAGTTTTGCATCAACATATGATCGGCCAGTGGGGCAATGTTTGCTCCTCGAGAGCTTTGGTTCGTTGAGCTCCCTGCTGCTGCTTTCCTTAGGTCGGACAATGGGTCATTTATGTCTTCGTGGGTACCATCTAAGCCCATTCTTTCACCCTCGAGTCGTCGGATTCTTTTGGAGTAAACTGCAGTTGCTTTCCCGAGAAGCTCGGTGATAGCATTCTTGTAGTCAACTGGATGAAGCCGATAATGACCTGCAAAGCAAGCGAATGATGATATTTAGGATTAGGAAGCATGTCAATCAATACAACAGATCATCGAGTCAACTGATACTGATTTGAGGTTTATAGGTAGTCTATAAAAACTAATCCCAGAAGCTATATGCAAATGACAAAGGATGAGCCATAACAATTTCCATAGGTAGGCGGAATTAGGCGTCAGACAAAGTAGTCATTTGGATCGGAATAGAGTAGACCAAATATAAATGGATTCAGTTATGATACTCAAATCCATAACCTTTTTTATGGGTCATATCTCCTTCTGAATACAAAGAGAAAAGAGGACCAGATCAAAGCCTATCCAATGCGCTTATAATCCGACTCTCATCCTCATTTCCCTTTATTTTCGATTCGGTCTTATTCTGAACCGTGCCAGACCAGAATAACTGCAATCATAAATTTTAAACTGTCTTAGGGGTTTCCACTCCCGCACTTCTTTTTTACCCTGAAGAATAAAAGAGAGATGGAAGTGAACCACAATTTCTCCAGTCCCATCAAGATGGAAAGAAATGAATAAGTTAAAAAATATCAGATCACAGTATTGGAAAGATCCCTCAAGTTTCTACTAAGCAGAAGCAATCAAGCAAATACAGTTTTCAAGGCGACTTCATATAGATTTACTCATACAGTGCAGAGTCGTAAGATCGTTCAAAGTTTAGAAACAGACCTACGTGAGGAGAGCCATTCATTGTCACAAGCTTCACATCACCGCCAAGCTCCTGTAGTCTACCGGCAAAATTTCGAATAACAGTGTAGGGAGCAAGGTCGTCGTTTTCTGAGCAAAACAAAAGATATGGAGCCCCAATATTCTGAAATAAAATGATAATCTGAATTAGTAGTGAAGAGAACTAGAGGAAACATGACAGATGAGCGATAAATATGTTTACTTACTACAGAGGAGTACAAGGTCTGCCAATACTCGGCTCGATGAGCTTCAAACCTGCTGAGGAAGAGAGCATCTAGACTATTACTAATACCACTTGCAATCCATGAGAGCATCCGAGGAGGATTTGATGTTTTCAAGACAGATGGGTGAACGACAAATCGTCTCCCCAAATCACTAGTAAAATCCACAGGACATGAATCATAGATATGGCCCGACAGACAGTCTCTAACCAGCCGACAGTCATCCTTCACATGAATATCAGAGCACAATCAGAAACTAATGCACTAGGAGTCATAATGTGGCAGCTCATGACTAGATATCAATACAACTATTAGTTTCAGATCAACTCAGGACCATTGGCCAATAAGAGATATCTACTATAGACATCAAAGGGGTATCACATGGAAATGGAAAGGAACCGCAGTGTTGGAAAAGAAAAATAAAAACAGAATCAGCTAGAAAAAGAAAAGAAACAAAAACAGAAGTGCTTGAAATGACTATCTTACTGGATTCAATTGTGAATCACTCTTTGCCTCAAGAATCTGCACAAAGAAACAGAACATTATTGTCATAATGTACAGAAGAAGTGTGCTCATTCATGAAGAGCATAAGAAATTAGAATGTTTTTGCCATTCTTAATTGAGCAAAAGTCTCAGAGCTTGCCTGAAGAACCTTGTACATGCAAGCTTTCGGACCACCGGAGAAAGGTGCTAAGACCAAAGGGCATGGTCCAGTCTTAAGCTCCTGTGAATTGGAACAAGAAACAGAGCGATTGTTATTATCCATTTCCAAACTATGAATAATTCCTAGTTGATTTCAGAAGCTAATTAAGTACACAGCACGCAAATTTTTTGGATAGCAGATGGAGTAGTATCAACAAATAGGACTACTTGAAGACCTATGACCCTGCTCGCCAACTTAAAATCAAGTTCCACCACCTCATATAGACATGGTATACCCATTTAAAAATTTAGTTACAATAGTTAATGAAAATACTACTCCCCCCCCCCCCCCCCCCCCCCTTTTCTTAAAGACTCAGAAAAAACACAGTTAATGCCAAAACCCAGCATAGAGCTTACCTCAATTAGTTCATTTAGAAGTTCAAATGCTAAACTTTCAGCCTTGTCAGGGAAGAACCTGCACAGAACGAGAATAGCAGATCATCAGTATTCCTGAATGTGTTGAGTCTATATCAGGCACCACGCTGCATACTCATAAACTACAACCGGACCTTTTAGTACTGCCAGCTTCACAAAACAAATAAGAATCATCTAGCCCAGAGACAACTAACAAGTTATTGCACTGCTAATGAACAATAAAAGCACCGTCAATTCAGATGGCCAAGATCATGGACCATGATATAAAAGGCCACAAAAGTAAAGCATTCACCCAGCCTTTCAACCACCCCACGAGAAATCGTAGGCATCAGAGGTAAACAAAGGGGTCATTCAAGCCAGCAACCAGAACCCCCGTCCAACAATAGAGCAAGTCAATTCAGCAGCAAACATCTAGTCAAAAACATCAATCAGCAAGACCCAGAAGCAACATCATCGCCGCCATCGCAGATGAGGGAGCCACAATCAAAATTGAGGAGAATTCTGAGGGTAAGGAAGGATTGATAACAGAGAAGCTCAACTCACATGTTCAGGAATTGAGAGTGGCAAACGAGAGAATCCCAACCGAGAGAGGAGTAGAGGTCGACATAGCTGTTCACGTGCCTGTCTTGACTGGACATCCAAGCAAAAACCACCACTATCCCTTCCCTCTTAACCCCTCCCCTTCTCCCCCAATAGTACCTTCCCCCAAATCCCAACATCTCTGCTTCTTTGATCTTTCCCCGCCTCAATTCAATTCCGCCGCCTTCGCCTACGCCGGCCAACGATTCCGACGAGCTCGCAGGAAGATGATATATGCGGAGATTAGGGAGCTGCAGAAGGATGCGAGGTTTTTTTTTTCAAATCTCCCGTAGCAGATGAGACGAGGTCATCATTATCAATCCTGATATGTTTCTTCTCCTGCTTCTTCTGGCACTTTGTCTCTATTCTGATTTTTTTTATTACTTTTTTTTTTATTTTTTAACGCTTTTTCTGGCTATTTATTTTTGACGAGTGATGATGTGATTTTTTTTTTT